CATGCCCTTCTCCATTCTCCTCTCGGGATCTTGGGCACGCACGCACAAGAGCCCAGCGTTAGTTTTAAGCCACCGGGTCTGGGACACGAACCGTGATTGACTACGTGGGAGTCCAGCAACATAGCCATTACGCTAACTGCTGGTTTCCGCTTTTATGACTTCTTAATGGTATAATTATTTAGCCTTCTTGAGTTGAGCACTAGCTTCCTCCAATGAAAGTTAAATACTACTACTTCCTCTTATGAGATTCGTGTGAGAATTAAATGAGAATTTAGGTGAAGTAAAAGTCATGAGTTCACAATGCATGTAAATCAGTAGTCTTCATTATTGTTGGATTTCAAAGGGGTTTTTTTTTTTTTTTTTAAGAATTATTTTATTTAGCTTTTATTTATTTAACCAGAGAGGGACAGTGAAAGAGAAAGTGAGGAAGCAAGCCACCAGGTCCAGGACTTGAACCAGGGTCAGCCATGTGGAAGTCCAGCACCCTTAACCACCACACCACCTGCCTACCCCTCAAAGTTTATTTTTAAATGTAGGTTTTTGGAAGTACAGATAAGCAGGCTTCTTTAATGCAGAACTTTGGAACCAGCAGTTGATGTGTGGTTAAGGTGCTGGATCCCACATGGCCAACTGCACAGTTCGAGCCCTAGACCCAGTAGCTTAAAGAACACTCTGTGCATGTGTGTTTGCGCCCAAAATATCCTGAAAAGGGAAATGGAGAAGGGGTTGCATCAGGACAATCTCCTATAGAGTGCTTTCTCTTTCTCTGTCTGCCTGGCCAAAAAAAAAAAAAAAAAGACAAAAAAGAACTTTCAGAGCTTTCTACATACTACTGTTCATATTGAATGTTTAAGGGAGTGACAGTATCCAATTGATAATTGGAAATCCTTAAAACAACCTATTTTTACAGAGTACAAGTTGGAGAATTCTGTAACAAGACAGTTTTTTAAATGTGAAGTTTTAAAACAAATTTATATTCTTAAAATGCTGCTTTTGAAGCCAGTTAAACACTGTGCAGAGGAAGCAGATCCCACATGTTCAGCCAGGTTTTATTGGAGACCTGCCCCTGTCAACTTTTACAACACAGGTTATACATACGTGCCCAGAATCTCAATGGCATGGGTAATTTGAGGGTAAGAACTGTGTGTGACCAGACCCTGGTGGGGGTTGGGTATGCATTCAGGTACCCTCTCTTGCCCTCCCTCTTTATCTTGCACACACAGTAATTCTTTTAAATGGTACTTTTTCACTTCTTTTTTAAACAAGGTCTTGGTCTGTTGATCCTCCCGTCTTACCTTCCTGAGTAGCTGGCACTAAAGGCAGGTACCACCACACCAGGCTTTTAGTTGGACTGGGAATGAAACTTAAAGAGTATCATCATCTAGTTTATGCCTAGGCTTACGTTTAGTTTTAATTAGCTGTGTTTTATTTTATGGTTCCTTGGAAGATTTTGTTTGAACAAAAATCGTTTATTGATAGTTGAAATAAATACTCTGATTTAAATGAACTCAGTTCCTCTTCCAAAGTTTATTAGAATTCTGTGAAAATAACTTTTTTTGTTTGTTTGTTTTGTTTTTGTTTTTTTTGTTTTTGAGAGATTTTCACTGTAGGGCGCATGCGCTCGCCAGACAGACAGAGACATAGAGACAGAAAGCGAGAAATCACCCCCCAGGGGGGATGGTCACGCTGCAATCCCCTCTCATCCATTCTCCTCTCGGGATCTTGGGCACGCACGCACACGCGCCCTGCATGAGTTTTAAGCCACCGGGTCCGGGACACGAACCGCGGTCGACCACGTGGGAGTCCAGCGACATAGCCATTACGCTAACTGCTGGTTCCCAATAACTGGGGTTTTTTTCAAAAAGGATTTTGATAGAGCTCCACTTAAAGTCCTTGTAAGTAAAATGGGAAAATAGAAGCAGAGAGTTTGGTATGACAAACTTGTGCCTCAACAGCTATAATACCCAGGGAGGGAGGGTTGACAAATAGAATGATGTTCAGCTGGAATAATATTTAATGATGTGGGTGAGGACACTGATTCAATTTGCAGATGATAGGAAGTTGAGAAAGCTATCAGTAGATATCGTGAGGGTCAAGATACCTATGGATTATGGAGAAGGAGGTTTTAATCACTGGAGTTGCAATATGAAGTTCACTATGTGAGGAAAAACTCAAAAAGGCAGTTGAAATGTTTGACTGCATTGGAAGAGGAAGATCATAACCCTGATCAGCATGGCCCTAGCCCCCCAGCTTTTAAAAACTATATTGTTATGTTTAGGTTAGGCACTGTTCAGTAGGCTCTGAAATCCAAAGTGATGTGGAGGAAAGGAATTAGAGCATGAAGAAGTACTTGAAATATGTCATGAGTAGGTGTTAAAAAGAACCCTAGTATTGAGCTTCCCAGAAAAAATAGAAATAATCAAATTACAAGGGATACTCTGAGCAGAAGGGGTAGGATTTAGAGCACGGTAATCCTGGGAGGTAGAACTAGGTGGAACCAGTGAATGGACAGTAGAGGCAGATATATGAGGACCAACCACGGTGGAGTGCGATGGATGCCTGGGGCTGGATTCCCAGCCCACCTTAAGAAAACTATTGAGGAGGCTGAAGCAGGAGAATCAAGCTGCCAACCAGTGAGGGCAACATAGACCTGTCTGAAAGTGGCTTGGTAGTTCATGCTTGTGGGCCCAGTTGCTCAGAAGGCTCTGCCAGGAGGATGACAATGCTGTGAGACCTTGTCTAGAGCATCACGTGCATATATCCACCACCAGAATGTTTCATTTTCAGAGTTTTCTTAGCGTAGGCTTCCTTGGACATCATGAGACATTCTTAGTAACTCCTAGGGGTATTTGTTAACAGGATATAAACTCAAGGTTGGATTAGGTTGTCTGGAATTCGAAGCTGTATAGTACATATAATATTCTTGGTACCATATTTCCTTCTCTACCACCAAACTTTGAAGGACTTACAGGTGCTTAAACTTGAAAAAAAGTTTATATATTTACTTCATGAAAAAGAGATAGGTACCCACAGCAGTGTCTTCACACTGTGACCCATCTTGTCTTAGCCGACCCAGATTTATGCGCAGCAGCACATATATACCTGGTGTGTTCAGCAG